ACATAGACAAGGTAACATAACTGAACGATGTTTACAAGTGGTATTTTGGAAAAAGATTTTAATTGTCCATTAATGACAATGAGATGCTTTGTAACCGCCCATTAATGACAATGAGATGTTTTGTTACTGCCYATTAATAACAATGTAATTATCCGGGAATTAATCTCGTCATCAAATCAAAACTAACAGCAAGATCCCCGACATCAAATTCTTCTATAGTTTTTTTTTGGTTAATGGTTCATGTGTGAACAAGTATTCGATATTTATGGAAATTGTTCATGTGTGAAAAGRGTGTATATGAGAAAAAGTCGTAAAGATTTTTGTAATATTCATGTTTTATTTTAATAAACACATACACTATGTAGTCTCGTTCATATATGTGGTTCACCTATGAATAAACATCAAATTGTGCTTATGACAATGCTCATGTGTTTACTTCTGAACAATATTCAATTTTTTTTAAAAATAATTGGTAATTTGTACATACCAATCAAGAACACATCAAGATCGATCGACACCAATCGAGACTAATCAAGAATCCATCCATTAACTTGGTGTGTGCTTGTTTGTGTAAAACCATAGTCTACCACTTTTAACTTTTATCGAGATGGATCGGAAAATCTATCAAGACGAATCGGAAACTCATCCAGATCAATCAAGAACCCAATAAAGAAAAAGAAAGAAAAACCAAAGTATATATGGTTGAAACTGTAGTATATTCATGATGAACAATATGTATATGCATGATGAATATTATAGTGAAAATTAATATTTATGATAAATGAAAAGTCTAAAAATCCCAATGGACTTTAGTGTTTGGAATGATTAGTCCTTGGACAATTTTTTTGCAACAAATAAATCATTGGACATTTCATAACCTGTTAAATAACTCTTTAGACGTTCTAAAACATGTTAAATACATCTTTATGACCTATAAAACTAATTAATGTGGTAAAATAATGGAAAAAGTCTGGAAAAAAAAAAGCTAATGGACTTTCATATTTTGAACRATTAAGTCCCTAAACATTTTTTGAACAAAAAAAATATTTACATCTATAAAATGAAACAAATATACCAAAAGTACTTACATTTACAAAGGATTAGGGGTGTTCAAAAAACCGTCAACCCGCGAAACCCTCCCAACCCAACCCGCGAAACCCGCCCAACCCAACCCAACCCGCTAACAACTCAATTAAACCCAACCGGCCAAACTGTCAAACTGTTAAACCACCAAACCGCTAATTAGAAGAATTGAAATTGGGTTAGCATAACTCAACTCAACCCAACCCAAACCGCCAACCCGCCGCTAATATATATTATTTTTATAAAATTATATATATAGATATATATTTACAAAATTATAATTTACAACCCAAAAATATGTATATTTTTTAGTCTAATGTACAACCCAAAAATTAAATACATGTATCACTT